ATGGCCTGCTGTGTTCATCCAGCTCTACACCTTGTTATCTCAGATTCTCCAGCATCTGCAGATCCTATATCTCTTGCCCATGAACATGTTGGAATGTGCAGGCTCAGGGCAAGGTGACATCGCTTGGACGGTATTTGTGGATGTTGAGACCACCATTGACAGGAACAGATGAGGTTGTGTTTGAAAGGTAGCACCACATCATCAGATATGGAGAGCGTACCTGTTCTATTCTGTGCTGAATACACAATCCCACACAGGCACTGTGACCTATGCAAAAATCCACATCAGGATCATCTCAGACCCAGAAACAAATTCAATCAGTGGCCCCCCAAAATGTTCCAGTGCAAGGCTCTAAGTATTGATCTCCATGATGAATGGTCCTTCAGGAGAGGTTTGTTCTGAAACTGCTCTCCCTCACATTAGTTCCATTTGCCAAATGATCAATAACAATTAGATCATCAACAGGGACATGGTAAATAGTACCACCCAGTAGCTTCTAACTTTCAAACACTCTGATCTCTTATCCCTATGAGCCATGTGTAAGTCTGGGACTGGGCTCTGATCACTGGTCCTAGTGTGTGACATCTAACCTGGAGGGGGCAGTGCTTGACATTGATCTGGGAGAGAAAGTCCAATTCACCTCACTGTTGCTGCAATGTCGAGCAATGTAACTACAAGTAAAGTGATGGCATACTGAATGGAACATTCCAATCTGGAGATGAAGTTTGGAGACATGCATGGAAGAGAACATTATTTTAGCTTGAAGTAGGTCAAGTTTTCTCATACAGTTATGCCGATGCCAGCTTATTTCATACACAAGGAGTTTGCAAATCTTGTTGCAGGATGGTTATAAACTTGATGTCCACACTGTACTCCTGCAGGGTCCAGGCACTGCTGTTAAACCAGGCTTGGATAGACTATCATCCCCTGTAAGATGCAGGGATCACACAGGATCTCAGAGTGGACCACTGTAATAAAGTACTGTATCAGGCAGCCTGCCTCTCCTGAACAGACAGACATCGACCCTTGATCAGTGAGTGGAAGGGAATCAGGGTAAGGGGGAGTGGATAGCAATTATGAAGGAGGCGCCACCGAATTTGTAAGGGAGTGGGGTCATGCATGTTACGTGCAATAATGGGAGCGGCAGAGTATGAGCTTGGTGAAAGGTTGGTGCAGGAGCAGAGAAAAGGTGCTGGCACTTAACCTGGCTGAGCAGAGAAGGTCATTGGCCTCCTTGTGGCACTGCTGGCCATTTTTAACTGAGGATACAGCACTGTTCTGGGTAGCAACCGACACCATACTGCCAGGCTATGGTGCCATGACCTCCTCAGTGATTCCCTCAGGAAGATGAGGAGCCTCCTCTGGACATCCCCTTCTCCTCGAACTCCGGGTCCCGGTTGGATAACTGTGGCACCATTTTCCCCTTCTCCAGCAGCTTTAGAATGACTATGCTTTGATGGACAGGGCAGATTCGGAATGCCAAAGCTCATCTTGCTGCACAGTGGCCTTTCAAATATGGCATGGAGCCATGGATGCAGGCATTTGACAGACATCTGGTGAGTGGTGACTTCCTTCAGGAAGGGCTGGTGGTAGGTCGGGGTTTAGCATCAGGGGATAGGGTTGCCATAAAGAGTGGGTGACATAGTTGTTTTGGTGAGTTTGGTAAGATACAGCAAAAGATCTTACTCGGCCTCACAATGAGAAACCCTTCACAGTCAAATCTTTTGGACTTGTTTTATGTGGCAGTTTGTCACTGAACAGAATGAAGAAACATCAGTTGATTCTCAGACCTTCCAAGGCCTCTAAGTAAGCAAAACCACTATTTCTCTCTCCCTCTGAGTGTGCAACACAGATATCAGTCAAATGCTGAGTAAGAAAGGAAAAGCTGCTAACTCAAGCCAAGATGTATGTCCAACCAAACAACTGCTGAATTAAATATCACCAAAGCTCACAACAGCTTGATACCATCCAAAACCAGAATGAGGGAAGGTCACCTAGTTTCGTCTTTCTGGTTTAAGCTCTGAGCCACAGGCTTTGTGTCTTTTGATTGATATTTTCCACCCATGATATTCCTTTCAAACCTTTCTCTTTTCTGTTCTGTATATCCCATTTGTCTGGATTTAAATTGGGCGATAGTTTAAGTTCACATTTTAGTCATTATTAATCTCTTTTTGCCATTGGAAGTTTGTTAGAATAAATATCCTTTTGTTGCCTTGTTCATTCATAAAACCTGGTGTGAATTTCTCTTACTTTAGATAAGAGGGGAAGAGATGGCCGTGTGGGATTATTGCTAAACTATTAATCCAGTGACCCAGGTAATGTTCTGCGAGCCTGGGTTGGATCCTGTCATGGCAGATGGTGAAATTTGAATTCAATAGAAGTCTGGTTTTAAGGCTCTAATGATGATTATGAAACTGTTCTTGATTATCAGGGAGAACCCATCTTGTTCACTAATGGCCTTTAGGGAAGGAATCCTACCATCCTGGTCTGACCTACATGCCCTCCAGGCAATTAGGCGTGGACAATGAATGCCTGTGCCACTCACATTCCATGAATAAATAAAAGAAAAATAGCAGTCACAGTCAGATGTGAACCATCCTTCGGATTAAATTTGTCATCTTTCACAATTGTAAGAATCATAAAATTGATTTCCAGCTTGATTTCCAGTGCACTCTTCCCCGTAGCTTGTGACACTTAAATTGTATTTACCTTCTTTACAACTGAAAATTCAAATGAAGAAACTGAACCCAATCACATGATGGATTGGGAGTTGCGGGGCGGGGGGGGGGGGGGGGGGTTGCAGGGCAGGGGGGAGGTTGTCAGTAAGGTGACCCACCAACCGAGCTAAAAAGCTATTGGCACTGAGCCACACCATGAATATCACATTGACTGCAACATTCACGAAGGAAGTTCATCACCAGCTTCCCAAGGGCAAGCAGGATGGGCAAGAAATGTTGACCCATCCAGGAATAAATGAAACATTAGTCATTAGTAGGAACAGGAGAGGGAATGACAGATTTCAGGAGAAGGGTAGGACTGAAAGCAAAAATGACAGCAAGGCAGGGTGTAGGGTTGAAGGGGAGCAGTGTAAGAGTTCCCTATGTTGCAATGATCCCAACACCGATGAAGGAAATGCAAAACAAAATGCAAAACGCACATGTAGATGTGCAGGTCACAGAACAGGTATCTGTTACAAACGATACTACAGTGAAAATTATTGTCAGTCATCAATTATTTTGGTGATTATTTTGGAGAGTGTGAATCGTGTGCAGACTCACTCTTTTTTAGATTGTTCTTGTTGCTGTTTCTGGTAAAATCGTCAACAGATTTCTGCTGCTTTTGATGATTTCAAAAGGAATGATGAATGTATCCCCTGGTGTTTCAGTCAGAGATGCACTCTTTGCACTCTGTGACTGAAGCTCATGTCATCTCATCATTACATATGCAATTATTTGTAGAGAATCAATGTATTCAATCCTTCTAAATGTGGTCTGACTCACCTTTGATCCCAAAAATGTTGTATTTTTTCAGGATGGATTTACTTGGCTGTGTCTGAAATAGAGTGAACAATCCTGCAAGGTTAAATGTGGGGTTTCTAAGTCTCAGATTAATGGAACCGGAATCCCAAGTAATCTGCGAGTACAAATTGTTTTTTTTATAGTATTCGCTCCGTTTTGAATCCCACCCGTACCAATACGTTCTCTCAAAAGTAACCAGCTGCTGCTTTTCTTGCCCTGAGTGTGGTTTCCATTCCCAAACAACAGGACCCTGTCCAGGATTGTCTGGTCCATTTAATGGAATATCATCTTGTCCATCCAAATAATAAATATCATTTGAGTTTCCTGTTAGAAAGAGGAACAATAATAAAAGAAAGTAGCATTTTAATATCAAGTCACAGTGCTTCAATCTAATTTATCTGACTATTAAAAACATAAATTTATTTCCGGTCTTGCATTTTATTCCATTTAACTAAACATGCTGCCTTCACTGGAGTCACTGATGGACACAATTCCATGAAATATTTCATTTTTCTATGAGAGAGTGACCTGAAATTATATCTTTAATACAAAACTAAATCCAAGATCAAAACAGAGGAAATAGTTAAATCCATATGACAAAAAAAAATACTCCTTATCTGAAATAAAAGCAAATTACTGCAGATTCTGGAGATCTGAAATGTTACCAGCGAATGCTGAAGAAACTCAGTAGATTCAGTCACATTATGGAAAAAGAAACAGAGTTAATGTTTCAATTCGAATATAACTCTTCATCAGATTTTCCTCTATTTTGACTGTGACTTGTGGTCTACCAGGAATATTATTGGTGTGGTCACATGCGAGTGGGGGAGGAATTTGTACAGGTACACCGATAACATCTCCAGCTTTTTCCCCCATAATATGGTTTCCTGAGGTGTGAGGAGAATCGGCATTTCCGAGGTGTGCTCTCCCCTGGACTGGAATGTGACAGAAACAAATCCGCTCTTGGAAACTCACTCCCACTGTCTTATCTTCAGGATCCTGTCCTTTTTGGTGTCAGTGACAATTATCCTCAACAAATTTGAGTCCTTCCAGCTGGCCTTTGGTGACCTCGGTCACAACTTCAGCAGAAGTCCCCATGATCATTTACTGGACACTTTCAAATCATCATTTGCAAATATTTCAAGAAGAACGGCAAAACAATGGGGCTGGATGAAATGGGAAGTAACTCTCAGGGATGAATGATTGCACTGGAGACGGGAATTTGACAAACTCAGGAACTTAAAACCCTGCCTCTGACACCTCCAAGTCATTAGGGTTATATTAGACATTGAAGGCCATTAGCTTTGCTTTCAGTTCAGAACAATTTGGAGTGAACAAGACTTTTCTGAAAAAAGTAAGTTCAGGAAAGGACTGGGTTGAGTGCGGAAGCAAGTCAGAAGGTTATAGAAACAATTCAGGAAATAGTTCACCTCAGTTGATGAGTTTAGTATATGAAGCTTCCAAAACCAGGAGATCTTGTTCTGCAAGGTAGTCAAACTGAGAAATTTTAGGCTCTCGGGATTTGTGGTAAGTTCATGTCAGCAGACTTGCAAAGGACTCAATGAATTGTTTCCACATCCCACAGCAAAGAGACTATAAAGAGTAAGTTAAGGAGAAAGTTAAAGAATTGGTGTGGGGACCATGTGTCTGCAATAGAAAACAAGTTGAAACTTTTGTTTTGATCTGTGTTTGAGGATCTATTTGACTGTCCTCCACAATTAGATACCTTGCACTTTAATTTGTTCTTTATCCTGTCTTTAATAAAAATTTGCAGACCTGCGTGAATGTGTTTCAGTGATGAAGCACCACAATAACTAAACAAAACAAATATAAAATCTGTCGAGTCCAGTTTCATTCTGGGATCTGATTTATCCTGTAAAACCCTCAGCTGGAATTGTAAGAAAATAAGTTTTCCCAACTCTTCATAATTTTTCAAAAACTTGTGAACATTAGCATATTGTTGTACACTTTAGTCATTTTATTCTAACTTGCAAACTATTATGCTCTTAAATAGTTAAATATCAAATGTCATGTGCTGTGAGGACACGACACATTTAGTTATTTTGTGGACTTGAATTTGAAGGGTTGCAAAGAGTCCTGGATGGCATTTTCAAAACATCATGAATGCCAAAGTTTTAAGGAATGGTATCAACACGGAGTGTATATGTATTCCTCTATAATGAGTGCTCTTAATGTGTGATCTAGTGTCTGGAATGGTAACTGTTGGGGTTGTCCATAATTCATCCATGAACAGAGTGGAATTACTTACTCCTAAAGAATGATTTGGCAAGAATGAAAGTTGTACCACAGTAGTGCAGTAGCAGTTGTCACAGAAAGACCAAGTGAAGTCAAGGAAACAGCATTTAATGGAAAACATATCAGGAATGTTTCTTTCATGTGGAAAAACCCAAACAATAGTGAAACAAGGGAAAAGTAGAACACAGACAGAAAAAAATTAGTTCAAAAGCAGAAATTATTGGAAAAAATCAGCAGACTTGGGAGTGTCCGTGAAGAGAAAGCAGAGTTAACATTTCGAGTTCCATGACTCTTTGTCAGAAATCAGATACAACAAGAGGTGGGGTTAAGAAGAAAAGATGGAGTCAGAGAGAAGGAGATGACAGGAAACGTTCCAGAGGGATGTGAGTGTCTCTGAGTTGATGGAGCCTACATTCCCTAATAATGAACTGGAGAATGATGTGGAACTGGAGGGCAGGGTAGCTCTGAGATAACATGAGGTGGTGCTGATAGAGAGACAGTCCAAGAGTGTGCATAAGGCAGAACATGCCACTGAGTGTGGCTCTCAGGATGTGGTGAGAGCAGCTGTTTGAGGAGCAACGTAGATCATGAAGATACCTGTGATTTTGGGTGGATTGTAAACACAGATATTTGGTGATCTAAAACTTTCTTTGGCAACTTAAATAATCTGAAGAAAGTCTTGAATGAGCCTTCTCTGATCAAGGCTCAGGAAAAAGCTCTGAATGGTGCAAAGATGAGTGGCTGGTTAGAATATAAACAACAGCATAAAAAGACAAATAGGCTAACCAAGAGGAAAACATTGCAGCACCAGAGAAAGCCAGCTGGTTATTTAAAAATGAACATGAGAAGATTCGAGAAGCTTTTAACGGAAATTTTAAGTAAAGTGAGTGTTGGTCCTCGGTAGAGTCAGAATGGAGAGTTAATAGTTGATAATAAGGAAAGAAGAGATGAACTAATAGACCATTTTACTTCTTTTTTCACTTCAGATTTGAAGACATCAGAGTGGCGCAGCGGGAGCATGCTGGGCCCATAACTCAGAGGTCAATGGATTGAAACCATCCTGTGCTATTTGCCATGAGTGAGTGTTATGATTTGCAGTGGCCTGTCCCCTGCATTTTCATGGCGGCATGGTGGCTCAGTGGTTAGCACTGCTGCCTCACAGCGCCAGGGACCCGGGTGCAATTCCACCCTTAGGCAACTGTCTGTGTGGAGTTTGCACATTCTCCCCATGTCTGCATGGGTTTCCTCCGGGTACTCCAGTTTCCTCCCACAGTCCAAAGATATGCAGGTTAGGTGGATTGGCTATGCTAAATTTCCCATAGTGTTCAGGGGTCTGTAGATTAGGTGAATTATAGGGGGATGGCTCTGGGTGGGATGCTCCAAGGGTTGGTGTGGACTTGTTGGGCCGAAGGACCTGTTTCCACACTGTAGGGATTCTATGATGCAGAAAAGTAACACTCTGATAATCACTGTAAATCAGGAAGTGGAAATTAAAGAGAAACTTTGCAATATTAAAATGACAAGTGGAGTGGGATTGAGCAAAATGATGGAGATGTGGCTTGGCAAGTCTTCGGATACAGGTGGAATCCATCCTCAGCTTTTAAAAGAGGGTGCTAATGATGTTGTTGATGTGTTGGTGTTATTTTCCCAAAATCCCCTCAATTCAGGAAAGTTTCCACGAGATTGGAATGAAATAAATATATCCTCTCTACTCAAGAATGGATGGAAACAGTGAATAGGAAACTTTAGGCTCAGTAGCTTGACATCTCTTTTGAAAAAGGTGTCACATATCTAGACTTGGATAAAATATTTCTAAACTTCCATTGTGGAGAGGGAGACAAGAGTACTCTTCCCATTTCTGTTGTAATGCAATGAATTTAGAAAGTGATCCACAGAATGAATGTGATACATTAAAATGTGGGGAGGTGGTTGAATGGTTGTTTTATTATCAGATCAGTAGTCCAAAGAATCCAAGTTAATTATCTGAGGGAATGTGTTTGAATCCGCCCTTAACAGGTGATGAAATCTGAATTCAATTAATAAATCTGGAATCAAAAGCTAATGGTCACCATGGAACTATTGCTGATTGTTGTAAAAACCTACGTGGTTCACTTTTAGGAAGGAAGATCTACCCTTCTAAGCCTGGTCTATGTTTGAAACCACTGTGGTTAACTGTTAAATGGTCTCTGAAACTGCCAAACAAAATATCGAGTCACGTCATCCGACGACAAATTCTAATCAAGGAATTTAAATCAGAAGGATTACCCAGCACCAACTGAGGCTCGGATACAACAAAGGCAAATTTATCCCTTTCAACACACCATAACCAACCTTTCTGACATTTGGGAGCTGCTGCATAAATTGGGATATTGTCTAACAAAACTAGTCAAACATGAGCCCGACAGAATCATTTTCACTGAAACGTACCTTAGTGACAATATTCCAGATACCACCACCATCCCACCATTTTGATAATCTTATTAGAGATGGTGGCAGAGTGATACACAATCAAGTGGGAATTGCCCTGGGAGTCCAGAACATTGACTTTTGACTCCATGAAGTCACATGGCATCAGGTCAACATGGGCAATGAAACTACAACTAATTATCACCTATCACCCCAGAAGATTGCTCAGCTGGTGGAGAACCCAGTGAGGGTGACAAGGCATAGAACATACTCAGGTGGGGAAATTCAAGGTCCTCCATGAAGAGGACAAGGGTGAAAAGGTATAGTTGCTGAACTGTCAACACAATGTGGAGCTGGAGGAACAGAGCAGGTTAGGTAGCATTAGAGGAGTAGGAAAGTCAACATTTTGGGTCGGGACCCTTCTTCTGAACTGGGGTGGGGGGGTGCAGGTAGGAAGTAAGCTGGGAAATAACCAGAGGGAACAGGGGTGCGGCTGAGTAAAGGTAGGTGGGATAGTGATAGGTGGATGCAGGGAGGGGGTGGTGGGGATTGGTCAGTGGAAAGGGTGGGGCAGATGGGTGGGAGAGAAAATGGACAGGTTGTGTAAGGTCAAGGTTCAGAGCTGGGGAGGGGGAAGGGAGCTTGACACAACGTGTCCATCTTACTTCCCACCTAGCCACCCCACCCTTCCCACCAACCAATCCCACTGACCCTACCCGCATCCACCTATCACAACCCCACCTACTTTTCCCCAGCTCCTCCTATCCTCCTACACAAAACTTGCTTATTGCTAAATTGTACCTGGGGCAGTGATGAGGGAAGCAACAAAGGTAAAAACATATTTAACATTGTGCTCACCAATCTATCTATAATAGATGCATCTGTCATGACAGGATTGCCAAATGTAATCAGCAAACAGTTGTTGTCGAGATAAAGTCCTGCGTTCATATTAAGGACAGATAGAAACACAGAAATTAGGAGCAGGTGTAGGTCATTCCGCCTTTTGATCCTGTTCTGCCATTCCATATAGTCCTGGCTGACTATCCAACTTCCCATACCCTTGGATCCTTTAACCTGAAGGCCAATGTCTAACTCCGTCTTGTAAACATCCAGTGTTTTGCCGTCAAATCTTTTCTGTGGCAGAGAATTCTACTGGTTCATCGCTCCCTGGTGAAAATGTTTCGCCTCATCTGAGTCATAAATGCTCTTCCAGGTAACCTCAGACTGGGACTGTTCTGGACTCCCTGGTGTACGGGAATATCCTTATCATTTTACACTGTCTGGTCCTGTTAGAATTTTACAGGTTTCTATGAGATCCTTCCTCACTATTCTAAACTCTGGTGAATGTAGTCTGAACTGATGCAGTCTCTCTTCATATATCAGTCCTGTAATTACAGGGACCGGTCTGGAACACCTTTCTCGCACTCGCTCCGTAGCCAAAACACCCTGCCTGAGAGAAGACCAAACCTACACACAATACTCCAGGTGTGACTTCACTAAGGCCCTGTATAATTGCAACAAACCATTCCTGCTCCTGCAGTTGTATCCTCTCGTTATGAAGACCAAAATACCATTTGCCTTCTTCACTGCCTGCTGCACCTGCATGCTTATTTTCAGTGACTAGTGAATGAGGACATCCAAGTCTCATTGCACATCATCCTTTCCAAATATATTCTCATTCAGATAATAATTTGTCTTTTCTATCAAAGTGGATAACTTTGCAACAAAGGAAATTTTTGATATTTTCAATCAAGCTGTTTGTACATGCTATGACCAATCTCTGGAGAAGGTGAGATTTAAACCTGGGTCTTTGGACCAGATCTAGGGACATGACATGGTGCACAGGAGCTCCCAAAAGGATATTTAACATTATGTTTATGGCACTACTGCTGTGTTGACTGGGATCAATTTTGAACACATCAAGCGACTCAAGTCTGTATATCCAAGAGGTGTTGCAGGATTTTGCAGGAATGCGATAGAATTGTGTTCAGCTACAATGTGTGAACCTCAATAGAACATTGACTCGCTGGACATTAACTTTTGCACAATAGTTTTGCTATCTTGGATTTTAAGTAATTAATTAATAATTATAATTGATAACTTCCTTCTTTCTACTTTCCACCTTTCTTGGATGGAGGGTGTGTGTGAATGTGTGTCACAAAGCATTCTTGTGGATTTTGAATGCAGGAATAAACCCCACTTTGTTTTAAAGCTAAACAATTTGCTGTGGGTTATTTTTAAATTGGCTCTCAAAATTAGCTTTCAGAAGATATCTCACTTACTTCTTGTAAAATGGAAAGGAAAATAAAAAAATTTTTAAAAATTAAAAATAACTGTTGTTATGGACAGGAGAGAAGGACAGTCAGAATAATTTAATCCACCTCTCCCTCTTGTCTGCAACAAATAGTTGGTACTTGTCAAGTACCTGACACAGAGGAAAATGGTTGTGGCCGTTGGAAGTCAATCATCTCAGCTCTAGGACATCTCTGCAGGATGTTCCTCAGGGTAGTGTCCTAGGCCCAACCATCTTCAGCTGCTTCATCAATGACCTTCCCTCTATCGTAAGGTGAGAAGTGGTTATGTTCACCGATGATAGCACAATGTTTAGCACCATTCATGACATCTCAGATATTGATGCAGTTCATGTTAAAATGCAACAAGATCTGGACAATATCCAGGCTTGAGCTGACAAGTGGCAAGTGACATTCATGCCACACAAATGCCCAGCTCTGACCATCACCAATAAGTGACAATGTAATAACCGTCCCTTGATATTCAATGGTGTTACCATCAAATAATCCACCACTATCAACATCCTGGGGGTTATCATTGACTGGAGACTCAACTGGAGTCACCACATAGACACAGTGGCTACAAGACCAGGCCAGAAGCTAGGAATACTGCGGCAAGTAACTCACCTCCTGCCTCCTCAAAGCCTGTCCACCATCTACAAGGCACAAGCCAGGAGTGTGATGGAATACTCCCCACTTGCCTGGGTGAGTGCAGCCACAATAACATGCAAGAATCATGACACCATTCAGGACAAAGCAATCTGTTTGATTGGCACGACATCCTTAAGCATCCACTCCCTCCACCAGCGGCGCTCAGTAACAGCAGTGTGTACTATCTACAAGATGCACTGCAGAAATTCATCAAAGATCCTCAGGCAGCATCTTCCAAATGCATGACCACTTCCATCTAGAAGGACAAGGGCAGTAGACATATGGGAACACCACAACTTCCAAGTCCCCTCCAAGCCACTCACCATCCTGACTTGGAAATATATCGCCATTCTTTCACTGTCGCTGGGTCAAATTCCTGGAATTCCCATCCTAATAGCATTGTGGGTCAACCTACAGCAGAAGGACTGCAGCGGTTCAAGAAGAAAGCTCACCACTACCTTCTCAAGGGCAGCTAGGGATGGGCAAGAAATGCTGGCCAGCCAGCGATGCCCACATCCCGCATATAAGCAAAAAAAAAGTGATCTTATAAACTTGGATTAAAGGAGTGCGTTTTTACATTCCTTCAGTTTAGCATATGTGTAAATTCATGAAATACCGTAATGGAGCTAAACAATATGAATGTTCCCAGTGGAAATTTGGCACTTACCTTGTGTGAGAACAGGTGAAAGTAGAAGACCAAAGACACTGAGTATCAAACCAGTTGGCATCGTGCTGCGGAAGAATTAAAGACACATTCAGACTCATTCCCTTCCCCTGTAAGAAATCCACACATAGATATTGACTTAGGTACAGATAAGAAAACAGCTGGAGTGAAACTGACACACATTTCCTCAACATGTTTAATACTTAAGAATGTGGGTGACACAAAACTGTGGGAAAACAGCTTGCTGAATTATCACAGAATTCATCCATTCATAGATTCATACAGCGCAGAAAAGGTCCTTTAGTCCATCAAATCTGCACTGTCGTAACTACCACTAAAACTGCACTAATCGCAATTTCCTGCACTTGTTCCATATCCTTGAATGTTGCAATATTTGAAGTACTTATCCAAATATTTTTTAAAAGCTGTAATATTTCCAGCCTCCACTATCTTCCCAGACACTGTATTCCAAATTCCCATTATTTGCTGAGTGAAAAGGGTTTTTTCTCAAATCCTCTCAGAATCTCCTACCCTGTTCCCAAAAACTGTGCCCTCTCGTGATGGACCTCTCAACCAAGGAAAATGGCTGCTCTCTATTCACCCTGTCCATACCCCTCATCATCTTTTACAGCTCAATTATGTTCCCCCTCAGTTATCACTGGTCTAAAGAAAACAATCCAAACCTATCTAGTCTCTCCTTACAGGTCAATTTCTCCATCCCTGGCAACATCCTGGTGACCCTCCTCTGTACCCCCTCTAATGCTATCACATCCTTCCTGCAGTGATGTGAACAGAGCTACATACAGTACTCCAGCTGTGGCCTCAGCAACGCTCTGTACAGCTCCAAAATTACCTCCTTGTTCTTGTACTAATACGCCATGACTAATGAAAGCAGGTGTCACATATGCCTTCTTTGCTGTCCTATTCACGTGCTCTGTTGACTTCAGGAACCTGTGAATAATTACCCCAACATCCCTCTGTTCCTCAAAGCTACACAGTGTCCTGTTTTTTATTAACTACTCCCTCATCTTGTTTCTTGTTGCAAAGTGCATCACCCTGCACTTATCCGAATTAAATACTGGTCTGCCTAACTGACCAAGCCGTTTATATCTTCCTGTAACTTATATCATCTTCTTCGCTGTTCACCACTCTTTAAATCTTGGTGTCGTCTGAAAATTTGCTGAACCTTCCCCTAACATGTTCATCTATATTATTTATGTATATAACAAGCAATGAGGGTCTCAGTACTGATCCTTGTGGTACACCGCTGGTCATTGGCCTCCCATCACTCAAACAGCCTTTTACCTCTACTCTCTGTGTCCTAGTACTAAGCCAGTTTCTTATCCACATCACTAAGTTTCTCTCAATTGCATTCGCAAAAATTGGAATTGCTCAAGAATTGTCACAGTGCAGATGGAGGCCATTTGCTTCGCCATGCCTGCACTGGCTCTTCAAATGAACTTCTTTATCTCAGTTCTTCATTTTAATTTACAAATACAAATTGTCCAATAACCTTCATTAACTGTGGACTCCACTTCTTCTAGGGTTAAAAGGAACTAAAATTACTCATCCTGGTGTATGAAGGAATGTGCATAATCCATCTCTTATCCCTATACATGAATTGAATTGGTGATTATGAAAAGGATCTCCAAAATGTGAAATTGGAAAAGATCTCTCCACAAAATATTTCATTCACTCATTAAACTGTCTCCCTGTCGAGAGTTGAACAGCTGCTAGTGTGGAATTGATGTGTGACTTGGATGAAGCTAATGTCAGGGAGAGGAGGAGCATGAAGAGCACTTGTGTAAGGTCATTGAACTTTTTCCTCACTGTACCCTGATTCTCTGGCCCTGACAGCTTGCTGTCAGTGCTCACTGTGTATTTGTATGGAGGGCTTTCTGTACAATTCCTGGAAAGATGATTTCTCACCTCCTTGACAATTCCTGCAGTACGGTCTCTAGGTCTGCATCTGATAACATGGGAGTCTTCCCCTTGGCTTTGGGACTCCACTGCTGCAGTTTCCCCCTGTTCAGACCGTCTCTGTCATCCATCTGGGGGAGATAGGGGTCGTGGTAATGTCGCTGAGCTCATAAGCAAAAGTGCTAGATGAATGCTCTGTGAGTAGTTTGAAATCTTTGTCTGAATGTTATGTGTAACTAGTGATTTTTAGATGTGAAATTATACATAATGTGTAGCAGCAGCTCCTGAATACAAAAAAATTATTTATTCTTCCAAAGGTAAGTTGCTGGGGAGTGTTGCTAAACAAAGAGTCCTTGCAGAATAGGTTCATAATTCCTTGAAAGTGGAGTCACAGGTAGATAGCATAGAGAAGAAGGTATTTGGTATGCTTGCCTTTATTGGTCAGTGCATTGAGTACAGGAGATGAGAGGTCATGTTGCAGCTGCACTGGACATTGCTTAGGGCACTTTTTGAATACTGTGTGCATTTCTGGTCTCCCTGCTACAGGAAGGATGTTGTGAAACTTGAAAAGGTTCAGAAAAGATTTACAAGGATGTTGCCAGGGTTGGAGGGTTCGAGCTACCGGGAGAGGCTGAATAGGCTGGGGTTATTTTCACTGGAGCATCAGAGGCTGAGGGGTGACCTGATAGAGGTTTATAAAATCATGAGGGGCATGGATAGGGTAAATAGACAAGGTCTTTTCCTTGAGGTGGTAAAACCCAAAACTGGAGGGCGTTGGTTTAAGGTGAGAGGGGAAAGATTTAAAAGGGGCAACTTTTTCACGCAAAGGGTGGCACGTGTATGGAATGACTGCCAGAGGTAGTGGTGGAGGCTGGTACAAGTACAACATTTAAAAGGCATCTGGATGGGTACTTGAATAGGAAGGGTGTAGAATGATATGGGCCAAATACTGTCAAATGGGGCTTGGTTAATTTAGGATATCTGATTGGCATGGACAAGTTGAACCGAAGGGTCTGTTTCCGTGCTGTACATCTCTATGACTCTGTGACTCTATCAATAAGCATTGCCTAAATAGCCATGGGTTTATCTCAGTGCCCCTGGCTTTGATCATGTTACTAACACAATGCAGGGGTTGGCATCACAATGTCACAGTTTTGGTTAAAAAATAGCTACATCCTTGACTAATCTTCACACACCGAAAATCGTGGTACATCTGAAACTGCAAGAGTAACATATTCATCCATTGCTTCATGTTAATTGTGTGAGCAAACACAGGAGCAGTTAGACAAGCTAATCAATTTATCATTTTCCAACATTTTAAAGACATAAATGATTATGTAATCCTTCTGAGAATACACATTCAAAAACAAAATGTGAACAGTGGTGTTTTTGATATGTTGCTGCAGCTCAGAAGAGAGTTTGAAATTGCACGAGTAGTGGACCATCTTCTGTATTGTGCTGGAATACAGGACCTTTGATAACTCGGTGTGAAAATACCAAGCTGCCAAGTGTCATTGTTGTTATGTCCGAGGCAACACAGAAGCAAACAAATTTCAGGCAAATATGTAACAAAAATCAAATCATTACATTTTACAGTTTCATATCGATTGGAGAAGCTGGGCTAAAAGTAAGGGTAGTCACCAAGCTCACATGAAGGACTATCAAACAACTGTTTTCCATCATAATTCTCTCTTCTCATGGATTGAATTTTGTGACTTTTATCTTTCAACTTGCTCAAAGATATTCAAGAAAAAAATCAGACATCAAGGATTTGCCACAGAGCTGAATGGACAAAAGTGAGAAGTTTGAAAGAGAAGTAACATCTGATAAAGAGTCAGAATATAACTTGGCAACGCAGAGAAGTCAAAACGAACTAAAAACAGAAAATTTTAAAAAATCGACCCAGCAACAAGCAGAAATAATTCTCTAAAACTGAAGAAGGCAAACATTTGTTTGTATGAGATCTCATACATTGTGTTTGCCTGAAGAAGATGGAATGACGTTAATAGGCACTAGATGCCTTTGTTTACACTAAACAAGAACTGTCTTGCAAAAACGTACTTGTAAGAATAAAAGTTTAGAAAGCATAGCATCTTTGACCAATCTAATCAGTTACTCAAACCACATTTAAATTATTTCTTTTTAAAAGAATTATGATTTCAATCAGATGTGCTTACCTTATGGGCAAAAACAATTGTATTGAAAAAACTCCAGAGACCAAGCAGTAAAGCTCCCAGCACAGAAATACAATGAACTGAGGCTCTCAGTACTGACAAAGTCCTTGCTACTTCTCTCGTGAAACCGCAGTAAAAACAAACTTCCTCTTCCTTTGCAGCTGAGGGTTCAGTCATCACTGAGCCAGGTTAATTCTAGCTAAAATATAAAAAATGGCTCAAAACAGACAACATGTGGTCACTCAAAATGGGAACTTAACAAAGTCCAATGCATTTCACAAGGAGTCATGATGTGGAGGTCCAGCTGTTGGGATGGGGTAGATAAAGTCAGAAATTACATGACACCAGATTATAGTCCAACAGATTTATTTGAAATCATGAGCTTTCAGATATAATTTTGTGAGCATGTCTCTGGAGTGTGACTCACAATCTTTTGATGCTACTGCGAGGTGGCTACAACTGTGCCAACATTGATTATTTAAAGTTGAACATTTTGTCTGAATGCTATGTGCAACTGGTGATTGTTTGATGTAGAGTTAGAATTATCATTTATCAGTCCAATCCTGGAACAAAAGCTGTTACTCTTTTCTCGATTTTTAAAATGTTGGACACAGTCGCAAGGGATTTATCTAAGGGACCTTGCTTTAACCGTGTGATTAACACTATGTAGTAGATGTCTATCTCAGTTTTACAGTTTTAAATAAACCACAGCTTTGTCCTTCATTTTTGAAAGGCAGTGTTTCCAGCTTAGTGCTAATCACCATGGACAGATGCTGGTTTATCAGTGCAGGGGTATTGGAAAATTTCATGGATATTATTCTGGGAGAAGAGAATTTGATATCGCAATGTGACGATATAAAACTGCACAGTGGGAGGTTGTGGCCTAGTGATATTATCACTAGATAATCACTCAGCTGATTTTCTGGGACCTGGATTCAAATCCAGCCAAGGTAGATGGCAGAATGTGAATTGAATTTAATGAAAAATGTCTGGAATTAAGAATCAACTATTGACCAATGAAATTATTGACGATTGTTGGCAAAATCCATCTGGCTCACTGATGTCCTTCTGGGAAGGAAATCTGCCATCCTTACCTGGTCGGGCTGACAAATAACTTCAGACATACACAATGTGGATGATTCTCAACTGTGCTCTGAAATGGCCCAGCAAGCCACTCACTTGTATCAAACACTGCAAAGTCTCAACAAAGAAATGAAGCTGGATCACCTGGCATAGAGCTAGGCCCCAGAAAAGAGAACAGCAGAAACAGCCCTGTTGACCCTGCAAAGTCCTGCTTACTAACATCTGGGGGCTACTGCCAAAACTGGGAGAGCTGTCTCACAGACTAGCCAAGCAACAGGCCGACATACTCATACTGATGGAATTATACTTTACAGACAATGTCCTAGACACCACAGTCACCATGCCTGAGTATCTCTTGTCCCAGCGATGAGGAAATTACCTGCTGATCACCATATACCATCCACCTTTGGCTGTGGTATGAGTATTAAACAACATTTGGAGGTAGGAATGGTGCAGAACGTACTCAGTGGGGTCGGGAGGGGATGTATTACAATGTCCATTGCTAAAAGTAGCTTAGCAGCAGCAGTATTGATTGAGCATAAATTTCATATCTGCTAGACTGGGCCTGTGGGAATAAAAAAATCGGGAAAAAATATATTTGATCTTATCCATACCAATCTGTCGGTATGCAGCTGTCCTGAGAATATTGGTCAAAGTGATTGCTGAACATTTATTTTAGAGACAATATCCTGCCTTCACATTGAGAATACCTTTCATAGTGTTGCATCTCTCACCATACTAATTGGGACAGATTTCGAACAGATCTAGCAACTCAAGAATGGGCATCCAAGAAGCACTGTGGGCATATGCCGGGTTACATGAGGTTAAGTGTGACATCAAGAAATGGTTGGAGGCAATGGATAATGCAAAGGCTATGCCCTGAAAAATTCCAGCAATTGAAGTGAAGAATTGTGCTCCAGAACATGCAGTTCCCTGGCCAAGCTGTTCTAGTGCAGTTAAAACACTGGCATTACCCCAAAAATGTGAAAAATTGCCCAGTATATCATGGGCACAAAAAGCAAGATAAATACAACTCAGTCAATGACTGTCGCATCAATCTATTTTCAATCATCAGTAAAGTGATGGAAGGTGTCATCATCAGTGCTACCAAGCAGCACCTGCTCAGCAATAACCTGCTTAGTGACACCCAGTTTGGGTTACGCCAGGACCACTCAGCTCCTGATCTCATTACAGCCACGGTTCAAACTTGGACAAACAAGCTGAATTCCAGAGATGAGGTTTGAGATTCAGCCTTTAACATTAAGGCAGGGGCAAAGTCTCTGCTGGTTGGAGTCATACCTGGACAAAGCAAGATGGTCATGGTTTTTAGAAGTCAGTTATCTCAGCTCCAGGACATCCCTGCAGGAGTTCCTCAGGGTAGTGTCCTGGGCCCAAACATCTTCAGTGAGGGTTTCTCCATCTACCACCCATACAGCTAGTGAATTCCACATTCTCACCTCCCTCTGAGTGAAAACAATTTTTCTCACATCCTCTAAAAACCTTTTCCTTAGATTTACAGCCCCAGGTCATTGATCCCACCACTGAGGATAAAATTTCTTCCTGTCTACCCTCACTATGCCCCTTGTCAAACTCACATGAAGGGCTGTCAATTAAATTTGTCCATAATGATTCTTCTGTTCACAGATAATGCATTCTGTGAGTTTTATTGCTTCATTTTCCATAAAAAAAAATTCAATTAAATTAGTCATCATGGATTAGACATAGAACTGAATGGCTAACTGACGTTTGAATGATAATGAAGACCTCAAACAGAACCAGAACATCATTTGGTAAACTCAGGAAACCAAATCCTGATAAAGACAAGAAAATTACATCAACCAGGCAACAAGTAGGAAAGATGAAGATGTTTAATATAGGAGACGGCACTCATTCATTTGTAAGTAATCGTCTGCTTTGTGCTTTGTAAAACCAGAGATAGGTACTTAATGTACAAAAACAAAGTTGCTGGAAAAGCTCAGCAATCTGGCAGCATCTGTGAAGGAAAAAACAGAGTTAACCTTTCGCGTCCGGTGATCTTTTTTTATAGGTACTTGATGCCCTGGTTTTGTCTAAAGAGCAGTAGGATGCACTAGCAACAAGGACTTGTAAGAGTAAAGGTTTTGACCAAGTCAATCAGTTTTTTAAACCGCGTTTGAATCTTTTTTTAAAATTTAAAATAATTATGATAGCGATAAGATTGCTGACCTGGTGGGAAGAGATGTTTGATGAAATGCTTAAAACTCTGAACACAAAAACACCAGGCTGTCAATCTTGACAAAGTCATTGATATTTCTCTTGTGAAAATACAGAGCAGGCAGGTTTCCTGTTCCATTCCAGCTCAGATTCTGACATCACTGAGTTGCACACATTCGAGCTGAGACAGAAACTTGGCTCAAATTAGTAAACACATGGCACCTCAACATGGGAACTTTATATATTGTGATGGGGAGCAAAGTGGACACTAGTTGGGATGCAATGCTATACATCAATTGGAAAGTGACAAATAGCAGAACTCACAGCTCATCAGAGAGTGTGCAGTTTTTACAATGCAATGGTTATTAAACGATGAAGTACCTGGTTTGATATTCAGGAATTCCAGTTCCTCTGCAATGTAAGGGCAAAGCCAGACTCCCCCTCCCTCTGTCCACAAGTGCTGCTATGATCCAAAATCCTAGGGACTGAATCATTGGAAGGTTTAGATAATTGAATCACAGCTGTAATATTCAATTTTGATGTTCCTTATCCACTCAAGGAATAAGGCTTGGGAGATAATTGGTCCAGGGAAGAGAAATTGGGAGAGAACTAATCAGGAGCAATGTAACCAGGTTCTGAAGTACTTAATTTTCGAAAGTACAATTTCCACAGCAAAAAATGTTGTCTTGAATCCCAAGAGCATCTATTTTAAATAGTTCACAGGCTCTTAAGGAGAAGATAGACAATAAGACCATAATATACAGGAGCTGCATTGGGCCATTGAGCCCATTGAAACTGCTCTGCCATTCAATAATGGCTGATATGTCTCTCACCACCATTCTGCCTGGGATTCTGAAGCTCATGGAGTGATCAAGCAGCTGGACTCAGGTGGTCAACCCAATGTTGCTCTGCCAATAGCTGGATGGCAACCCATGGTAACCAGTTCACAGACACGAGTTACTTAAGGCCAAAAAGCTGGTGATTAATGTCAGGCAAACAGCTCACTTGATGGTATTGTAGAACCTGAAGTGTGTTTGGAAGGGATCTCACAGTGAAGTGGTGTCAGACAGCAATATAGAATCCTCGGGTGAACATATGTCATGAAACCAGGGGGTGCATGCAGTGGGGACAGCACAGGGATGATTTAGCAGGAAGTGTCGGCTGAGGAAAAACCAGATGCCAACCACATGGTCCCTGGAAACCCGTCCAAGCTATATCCTATTCAGGTGAACCCCCACAAAGTCTGGATCCCATAGGATGGTTAAGAGTATGGTTAAGAGGCTCAGAAAGTCATCTTCAACAAATACTGGATACCATTGCAACACTTACCAGCTGCCCAGATTGATGATGCACAAACTGAATGCTGTCACCAGTGCGGACCTGAACATGCTATCCATCATGGCACAACTAAACCTGATAATCACATATTCACTGAGAAACAGTGACTGTTTATCAGATCTCATTCTATGGGTAGCAATGGACAGTAAAACTATTGTTTTGGACCTGAGAATTCTCCCAACAGCACTCAATGATCCTTCAATTCCCAATCTCTAGTCATGCTGAGTCAGCTTCTGGATTTTCAGAAAAAGATCCTTCTCCAGGAATGCCCTCATTAACTATATCTTTCTGTCTTTATTATCAGAACTACCCCTCCTCCTGTTTCATTCTGCATGAATTGTTGAAGTGTTGTGAACCCTGGAATATTTATTTCTCAATTTTTCTTGCCTTGCAAACATGTTGCTCTGATGGGGATTTAATCTCAACTATTTTCTCTACTTGCTCTGACTTTTACTCGGCCCTCAATGTTATAACATAGCCGGAAATGCACTCAGCAGAAGA